TTCTGTTCTTGATGGAGTTGAAGAAGTGCTACTTGCGGAAGTTTCTGTTGAGGCTGCTGTAGTTGTGCTTGTTGGGTTACTGCTAGTCTGCTTGGAAGCTGATGTTGAGGATGTGAGGGGTTCTGCGGTTGATGGAGTTGAAGAAGTGCTCCTTGCGGACGTTTCTGTAGAGACTGCTGCAGTTGTGCTTGTTGGGATACTGCTAGTCTGCATGGAAACTGATGTCGAGGATGTGAGGGGTTCTGTGGTTGTTGTAGTTGAAGAAGTGCTACTTGTGGAAGTTTCTGTTGAGGCTGCTGCAGTTGTGCTTGTTGGGATACTGATAGTCTGCGTGGAAGCTGTTGTCAAAGTGGTGAGGGGTACTGTGGTTGTTGGAGTTGAAGAAGTGCTCCTTGCGGATGTTTCTGTAGAGACTGCAACAGTTGTGCTTGTTGGGATACTGCTCGTTTGCTTGGAAGCTGATGTTGAAGATCTGAGGGGTTCTGTGGCTGTTGAAGTTGCTGTCGTGGCTAGTGCAGTTGTGTTTGTTAGGCTACTGCTAGTCTGTGTGGAAGCTGTTGTCAAAGATGTGAGAGGTACTGTGGTTGTTGGAGTTGAAGAAGTGCTACTTGTGGAGGATTCTGTTGAGGTTGCTGCAGTTGTGCTGGATTGGCTACTGCTTGTTGCTGTGGAAGCTGATGTTGAAGATATTGGGGCTTCTGTAGCTTTTGAAGTTGTAGATGTGGTACTGGCAGAAGTTGCTGTCGTGGCTGGTGCAGTTGTGCTTGTTGGGCTACTGCTAGTCTGCATGGAAGCTGTTGTCAAAGATGTGAAGGGTACTGTGGTTGCTGGAGTTGAAGAAGTGCTACTTGCGGAGGTTTCTGTTGAGGTTGCTGCAGTTATCCTGGACGGGCTACTGCTTGTTGCTGTGGAAACTGATGTTGAAGATGTTGAGGATTCGGTGGCTTTTGATGTTGTAGATGTGGTACTGGCAGAAATTGCTGTCATGGCTGGTGCAGTTGAGCTTGTTGGGCTACTGCTACTCTGCTTGGAAGCTGATGTTGAGGATGGGAGGGGTTCTGTGGTTGTTGGAGTTGAAGAAGTGCTCCTTGCGGATGTTTCTGTAGAGACTGCTGCAGTTGTGTTTGTTGGGATACTGCTCGTTTGCATGGAAACTGATGTTGAAGATTTGANTGTGTGAAACAATCTGCACAACTGATATTCACAGCGAGAATTGCTTCAAGAACTGTGACACTAATGGAGAGTTTCACCCATACAAAAATTATCATTCCATTTACCCTGACTGGACCATCCCCCCTGATGCATCAATTGAAGCATCTGATTACTGGAAGTATGTGCTGCAGAGATACAATGACAGGTTTGCAGAGGAGTACAAAGCCAAACCTGCAGAGATTCCAGAAGCATGGAAACAAATCACCAGAGAGAAAGCCCTGGAGAGCTTAAACATAGCCTTCAATATCAAAGGTAGTTAAATTTCATTTGCCAAATAACCATGCAACACTAAAATCCCCAGAGATCGCCATGGAGACACTGGGGTGTTTTGTTTGCAGCTTGTAGCCACGGCTTACATATGTCTACACAATCAGTGTACTTGAGTCTCATATAATTACAGGGAAAGTCATACACCACACAAGGTGGATCGTATAGTAGAATAATGTAACTGAGATGTTTATTTAAAAACAATCTTATATTTCCTAAGACAATGAAAGAAGCTCACAGGAACAGCTGATTGATAGTGTGATTAAGTATGTTTATGGGTAGCATTTACTTACAAAAAAAAAATCAAAATAAGTCACTTAAATGGCTGATTTAAAATACACAGCTGAATTTAAAGTATACTTTAGAAGTTGTAATTGTAACAACTTGCTCATCAAATGTAACAAAATAAAATGCAAAATACTGGTGTGAAAAAATGTTTTCATGAGAAAATGTATTTAATTTAAATATAAGTAATTTGTCATTTGAAAATACAAAAATACATACAATTAGTAGTGGTTCACGACGAATATGTGTGCTTTTACAACCCTAGTAACCACCACCATGCTACCCCCAACGATGACAATTCAGATTCATTTTTGATTCAAAACTAATTTTGATAGCATTGAACATTTATAACATCCTGTATGCTTCCTCACCTCCCACCCCCATCCGAACCAAAGACTGAACTCTGGACATTAGCCCTCTTTTCACACCGAGTCAGATTTTTTCAAACGAAAAAAAAAAAAAACGTATTGCGTTATTCAGACACAAACAGATGTATTTCTTTGAAGGCTTTCTCCCATGGACTCGGGCGGTTCTGGCAGGGGGGGCGTGGCATAGTGCAGGCAGGGAAAAGAGGTGGAGGACCGACTGGCGGTTCAGGGAACACAGGGCTTTATTAACTGAACAGAAAACACGGGGAACACAACAAAACAAAAAGGACCACGAGGGGTCAAAACTAAAAAGGGGTATTAAGTAAACAAACAAAACTGGTTACACTAAGGAACATGCAGGAGCTCAAAACTGGAACACAAAAACAAAAAACAATGTCTCAGTTGTCAAACATATTTTCAGTTCTCGACCAACCCTTTCGCCCTAAAACCTGTCTGACAAAGTACGCGTCTCTTTACGCACAGACAAAGGAAAGAATGCGTGCATATGAGTCAGTCTACCGGTAACGCTTGCGTAGTGAATATTTCCACCGAAATGTGCGGGAAGGTTGGGGGCAAAGCTGGAGTCAGGGAGAAAAATTAAGTGGCTTTATTGGGCCAAAACACAACGGGGGAAGCTAAGTAAATGGACCACAAGGGGTCACAACTAGGCAGGGAACAACTAGGGACAGAGACGGAGCACTGGGTAAATGGAGGGAGCACAAGCAGGCAACATCCAGGCAACAAGACACACGTCAATACGATGGCCAGACTGGGGAGCTCAGGATGAGAAGGCACTATATACAGCACTGATGAGGGAGCAGACGAGAGGCACCTGGGATCATCCACACGGGGGCTGACGGGAGGCACCTGGGATCATCCACACGGGGGCTGACCAGGTGAGGCTCGTTAGAGCCACAGAACAGGGAACATGGGGGAAAAGGCATCCGGGGCATGACACAAACTTCTTTTTGACTAAAC